TTCTGTGTTCTGAAGCTTTGCTGTGGATACCTGCCAAGTCTAAGGCTTTTCTGTTGAAAACTCTTTAAGGGTATTCATGCATCTGCGGATAAAGATAATTTAACATTTCTATTCTCTGTTTCTATCTGTTTTTATTTCTTTCCCTTGTCCATTGCTCTGGCTAGGACTTGAAACCTTACACTGAATAAAAGTAGAGAAAGTGGACGCCCTTATCCTGTTGAAAATTTTGAAAAAATGCTCTCTGGTTTTGCCTGTTTAGTATATTGTTGATGACAGGTTTGCCACACGCAATATTTATTATGCTGAGGTATTTGGGACTTTTATCATGAAGGCATGTTGAACTTTCTCAAACATCTTTTCTGTACCTATGGAGATGACAATATGACTCTGTCCTTAAGTCTGTTTGTGTCGTGTACTTATTGATTTATGCATGTTGACCCAAACTTGCATCTGTGATATGAAACCAATCTGGTCATGATGTATGATCTTCTTAATATGTTCTTGAATTCAGTTTGCAAATATTTTATTGGTAACACGTGCGTGTGCGTGTGTGTGTGTGTGTGTGTGTGTTCATGGGGGAAATTGGCCTATAGTTTTACCGTTTGTTGTGTCCTTTTCTGGCTTTGGTGTCAGGGTAACACTGAGCTTGTACTGAATTCTGTGGTGCTGTTATTCTCTGTTAGCCTTTCTGTTTTATGGATAGTTCGTGGGACACTGGGGCTAGTGCCTCCTCAAGGGTCTGGTAGAATCTGACAGTGGATGCTTGAAGTTCCAGGACTTTTTTATTGAGAGGTTTTTTTTTATTACTACTTCAGCCGTTGATCTCTTAAATGCGTGCCCTGGAGTTCGCGGTTGGCCATGCCTTCCCCTTTGTTTTTATGTACGTCTGAACGTATTACTATGAACTTGTTCCCCCTCCCTGAAATTCATTCTTCAGCTTGCCGATCTGTCAATGACTGTACCGATTTTCAAATGTGTGTGTGTCTGTGTGTGCGTGTGTGTGAATGCAGGCGCATGTGTCCCACAATGCAAGTGTCGAGGTCAGAGAACAATCTTGGGGTTGGTTCTCTCCTGTCACCTATGGTTGAGCATTGGGAATGAAACTTGGGTTGTTAGACCCGCACACACGCGCCTCTGCCCCCTGAGCCATCACCGTGTCATTCACTGTCTTTTTAGATTTCATTTACTGGTTCTTTCACTCCTAAAACTTTCTGCCTGGTTCTTTTTTCAGTGTTTCAATTTCCTTGCTGGATATTTTTTTTCTTCATGGTTTTGTATTTATCCTCCAAGTTACTGATCACTTTCTCCTTGACGGTTTTTGTTTGTTTAGGTCCTGAATTGATTTCTTTACTGCTTTAGGCAGTCTGTATGTGTGTGGGGGAGAGTGTTAGGCTCGGCGATGTTCTAGCACGTCAGTTATTTCGCTATCTAAAGGCAGAGGAGTTGGGAGCTAGTGATGGTGCTGTCGCGAGTTTTAGTTGTGTGATTCTTTGCTGTGGTGCGTGCATCTGTTAGGACAGATACGTCCTTCGGATTTTATTTTCCTCTACTGTTCCTGTTTGCTTGTTTTATTTTATGCGAGTCTTCCTGGTGAGCTGGCTACCCATGCTGCTACTGAGACGGGAGCCAATGCTTGTAACTACATGGGTTAACAGCTGTCCTGCTGTTGACTTACAGGAGATTTGTGTGCACTTTGGAGGTGTCCTTGGTGAAGTTCAGATGCAACATTACTAGGCACTGGCTGGGGAAAGTGTGTCTTCTCATTTCTTTTAGAGCTAAGGGTATCAATTATGTAACTGGTGAAATGGGGAAGAAATGGAGAAGCGGGGGCTGAGGCAGTGAGGTAGAGAAAGAAGGCCTCGGGCTCGAGTCATGGAGTAAAGAAACTACTGCAGCAGGAAAGGCCTGTGGGCGCTTCGGTCCCCACAAGTGGAAGGGGGGGGGGGCTGCTAGTCTCAGGAATTCACGCAAGTTAAGTCAACGCGTCCTTCCAAATGAGAGCGATCTCGTCGCTAAAGTTCACTCTCTGCTAGCATTCCCTGCTCTGAAGCCTGCTCCTTGCCAGCGACAGCCTTGCCTCTGGTGTTCTAAGGATTGGGCTTTGGGTGGCAGGCTCTGCAGCCTGTGAGGCCTGCACACTTGTGCTTACCTTTGTGTGCTGTCAAAGCCCTGACCAGGTCCCACGGCACTCTCGTGGTCCAGCGCAGCTCACCAGGCAAGGGCGGGGGAGGGCAGTTGTCTCCTCTGGTGGGTATCTCCTGATCCTAGCCTCTGGTCTCTGAGTTGCTCCTGCTACAATCTGTGCAGGCCCTATCCAGCCTCTGATTGTGTTTCCAGAGCCTGGACCCCTCTCTCTAGCTCCTGAGGCAATTTGCAACTGGCCAGCCGGAGCAGAGTTGTGACTGATACTAGAGACTTGGTTCCTTCTATCCTGGCTTATTTCTGTTTTCTTTAGCTCTCTTTCCTGTATGAATGGCGCTATTGTGGATTTATCTAGTTTTCTTCTATGCACACACATGCTGCTGCTAATTCGCCACCTTACCCAGGAAGTTCTGCAATTTCTTTTTAAACATTTAACAATTGGCTCCAGGAGCCAGTGTGAGCTTGTCTCAAGTTCATCACTGACTTTGAATCTCTGTGGACTAGTTACAGGAGAAGCATGGTTGGACAGGGCAGTAGGTAGCAGATCGCAGAGGAAGGGACAAGGAGTGGGGCACAGAGGTTGTCTCAGATAGAATGAAAATAGGACCAGACCCCCCCCCCCCAAAAAAAGTCTGCGAGTGAAGGCAAGTGTGTAGAAATGGATACTTAGGAGAATTGAGTAATCTGGGTCCAATTCCAAATTAACTGGACATCTTTCCCACAACGCCTTGGCGTACCCTAAGACTGGGGACATATCTCCCTCTAGTGGTCATTTAAAGAACTGCAGCAATGTCTCATTTCTCTGCCCTGTGAGCACCCCAAGGCCTTCTGGGTGAGTCTGTCTGGCGAGCGGGCGGGGCAGGGAGAGATTTATTTCTTTGGAAATTTAAAAGTGTTTTGGAAGGAGGGATGTAGAAGAATACATTTAGGAGCTAGTAGCAGGTAAATTGCCCACATCTTCCTACCTCTTTAAGCAACTGGGATGTTTTGAACTTAAAGAGATAAAGCTAGAAAAGAAAAATAAAGGGAATAAGCCCCCAGAGTCTGATATCAGTGCCTAAAACTGCCTTTATGGGACTCTTGAGGAACTGGGGAGACTACTACTTCCCAGCAAGGTGACGAGGAAGATGTCTCATCTGGCCTCTTGCGGTCCCCTCCCACTCCCCCACCAGGTCCTAGACTTGAGGACTCATCGGGTAGGGTTGAAGAAGCCAGACATGGAGGCACACAGGATCAGAGAATCAGGCGACAACCCGAACCCCACTTTAGTGCCGTCCGGGTCTCCACCATCCAGGCTGCCCCTCTTGTGGGTCCCTGTCTGCCCTTTGCTTTCAGAAAAGAGTCCCTCATGAGTCAGCTTGGACAATCCAGAGTAGCAGTGGTGGTCCTACAAATGTTTGAGGTGGGGGCGTGGGGTGTCTGGAACTCCCACCCAAGAGGTGAAGGTGGGTCCCTTCTGACAGCCTTAGGATACAGACTGTGGACAAATTCATGAAGACCCCAAAGATTTGGGGTTAATGGTCAAAGACTTATTTTGAAAGCTCAGTCTGGCTCAACAGGCCGTGTGTTCCGGGGTCAGTTTGAAGTCAGGCATGGTGCAGGGAGACTACATCAGTCAAGAGAAGCCGGAAGCCCAGGAAGGCATGGAAACTTCTAGAAGGAGTAGGATTTCTGTGATGGAGGAGGGTCATCTGTCTATGTGTTTCTTTCATTGGTTAATAAAGAAACTGCCTTGGCCCTTTGATAGGACAGAAAATTAGGTAGGCAGAGTAAACAGAAGAGAATGCTGGGAGGAAGAAGGCAGTGAGGCAGTGGCCATGACTTGCCTCTCCCAGACAGACACTGGTTAGGATCTTTCCCAGTAAGCCACCACTCGTGGTGCTACACAGATTACTAAGTATGGGTTAAAGCAGGATGTGAGAATTAGCCAATAAGAGGCTGAAACTAATGGGTCAGGCAGTGTTTAAAAGAATACAGTTTCCGTGTAATTATTCCGGGTTTAAACTAGTTGGGGAGCCAGGATCCCAGCAGGAATGCAGCCTGCCGCTCCTTTTGCAACATTTCGGGGTCTGAGTAGCCTGCATCCTCAGAGGGTTCGGCCATGTGTGGACCTAGAGTTGCACTATGGGAGAAGTTGCGGGTACTGCTGCAGTTTTAAGCGTGACCACTAGGGGAGGCATTCCATGTGATTTCAGTCTTCAGCAGTGTGCTCTTGCTTTGCCACTCAGGACTTCAGTATTCTCATAAGGCAGAGATCACACGCTCTAGTTTAAAATGAGGAATGTACTAAAGAGTACAGGGGAAGTGCCCAGACTAAGATCTGGCACATATTACGTGCTGTGTAGCTGCTTGTGCTGTTAGAGTTGAGGTTGGTCCTCTGTGAAGGCGATGGGAGAAGGAGCTCAGATGGGCAGCCTCTACCCTACACCCAAAGATCATGGCCCACAAGTCTCATCTAGGACTGGCACAGATATGAAGCCACACTAAGACACTGGACAAAGCAAAGCCCATTTGCTCAAAGCTCTTTATTTCCACAAGTGTTTAAAAACCAGTTTAAAACACAAGGAACAAAGGAAAACCCCCCAGTCTCCCTTGGAATTATTTTTTCTCTTTCAAAACATGGAGAAACCACTCCTCAGCTGTAACAGATGTACTTCACATTGAAGAAGGTAATAAATAAATAAATACATAAATACATAAATAAATAGCCTCGATGGAGTAAAATGGGAACATAATTTAAAAAATAGATAAACTGATAATATAGGTGATGTCAAAAGGGAAAATGAAATCCTCCTCCTGGGTGTGGGCCCTGAGGGACATTCAGACTCCAACACTTCTGCTGGTTTTGTATTCCATGGTCACAGGCAAGACATGTCCGGGTCAGAGGTTGGATGAGGTGTTGTAGGGATTGGTGTTGGCAGCAGATTCTTCAGTTCACTCACAAAGTACCTCAGTTTCTGTTTAAAGTCCTCCTCATCATTTTTAAGGACGATGCCTGTCATCTGTGAAGAACCGGAGAAGATGGTGTTAGAGGTGAGCAGGCTGCTGAGGGCCATAGCAAGCTAAGTCTGGATGTGGGTAAAGGCACTACCTACAGGGTATGTCGAGGGAAGGACAGCTTACCTCAGAGGTGCCCTCAACCTTGGGCAGGCAACGCCCAAGTATCTGTGGAGAGAATTAAGACACAGTCAGATTCCTCGAAAAAGGAGCAGGCCCTACTTCCCTCCCCACTAAATGCTGAGAAGAGGGGAGGGAGGCAGGGATCCCCTAAACACTCAGCAGTTTCACATACCTTAAGTTTGGTCTCGATTCTGTCTATTTTCGATACATTTCCCTTTCTCAGGAATTCACACAGGTTTTCTCTCTGCAAGGTCTCATTCTGAGAAAACAAAGAATCCTCTGTGTAGAAGCTGGGGAGGTGAGAGCTGGAGGGGGTTGGGGAGGTGAGAGCTTGAGAGGTAAGAACTGGGGATAGGTGAGAGCTGGGGTGGTGAGAGCTGAAGGGTGAGAGCTGGGGAGGTGAGAGCTGAGGGGTGAGAGCTGGGGAGGTGAGAGCTGAAGGGTGAGAGCTGGGGAGGTGAGAGCTAAGGAGGTGAGAACATGGAAGGTGAGAGCTGGGGAGGTGAGAACTGGGGAGGTGAGAGCTTGAGGGGGTTGGGGAGGTGAGAGCTTGGGAGGTAAGAACTGGGGATAGGTGAGAGCTGGGGAGGTGAGAGCTGGGGAGGTGAGAGCTGGGGAGGTGAGAGCTGCGGAGGTGAGAGCTGAGGGGTGAGAGCTGAGGGGTGAGAGCTGAGGGGTGAGAGCTGGGGAGGTGAGAGCTGAGGGGTGAGAGCTGGGGAGGTAAGAGCTAAGGAGGTGAGAACGTGGAAGGTGAGAGCTGGGGAGGTGAGAGCTGGGAAGCTAAGCCTGCTGTTAGAGGTTTTTTGTACAGCCTTATTCCTGGTCCCTTCTTTACCCTGGGCTTAAAAACAAGTACATATCCCAGGCAAAGGCCTGCCTCTCCCAAGTCCTAACCCCTGGCTGTCTGTGGGTTGTGTGAAGGGCTGGGCAGATCTTTCTGTACTTGAGGAAAACACACCACCCCAGACAAGACCTGGAAAAGGCAGAGAGTTGACCAAGGGAAATACTTATGCCCAATATGCCAGATACCAAGGTTAATGATTCAACCTAAATAAGAATTTCTAGAGACTTAAAAGACAATCCTATGCCCCCAAGGATGGGGACATGTAAACATCTAACAAAATTGTAAAGGACTTCATGTTAGGTCCAAGCCAACGAAAAGAGACACAACCATTGCATCTGGCTGAATCTAGGAAAGTAATGTCTGGGGCTGGTGGAACTCGGTTTTTAAGGAGGAAGACCAGCAAAGGGCAAAGTCACAGGGGACAGCCAATTCTCCATTTCATTGATTCCCATGGAAAATGAAGCCAGAGGCCTATGGTAGGGTTCACCCACAACTGTCTTTTCATTGTATATCATAAAATGTAACTTTTGTTACTCCAGCCAAGGCTGTGTGTACTGACCCCAGTTAAGTGTAAGGCCTAGAGTCATTTGATGTTTCTCTTAACAACCCCACTGAGACAGATACAAAAACTGAAGCAGAGCAGGGTGGAGGGACATGAGTGAAATCCCCCAGGCAGGAGATAGATGGGACCCAAGTATGCCTCAAAGCAGGGCCAAGCTCTTACCTTCAGTTTTACTCTGACATCGTCTTCGCTGAGATTAGATTCCTGTGGGAACACAGAAAGAACCATGAAGCTTGTTGGCCTGAGGCACCTGCTGGAGCCAGCCTGAGGTGGCACCTATTGGAGCCAGTCTGAGGCCCCTGCTGGAGCCAGTCTGAGGCACCTGCTGGAGCCAGCCTGCACCAGGCCAACCTCATCCTGAAACTCACTTTGATGGAACTCAGAATTTCCTTGACAATAATGTTGCACTGGCTGGCTTTGCCTGAGGCTGAAACTGAAGGCGGCACTGGAGTCTGGAGTCCCTGGTGGAGCAGCATCAGGAGGAACAGAAGCAGCAAGGAGAGGAGACTGGTGTTGGAGCTTGCAAGAGCCATTGTGTCCCGTTCTGGTCCTTCGAGGGGTTCTGAAGAAGCCACAGTGGCCTCCACCTTATATGTGCTTACAACTCATAGGGGCGGAGGGGGGAGGGGACAGGCGTCGGAAGGAGCTTTATCTGACACAGAACCTCCATAGCAAACCACAGGCTTATTCATCACTTTCTAGTACTCGAGATCATCGACATGGGAAGCAAGACTGCTTGCTTATTCAAAGGCCATCTTCTTCCTTTGTCACAGAGATGGACAGAGTGGAAAAGCGAGGCGGGAGTGAGTAACTTGGCTCTGAGCCAGCTCCTGCCTCCTGTGCAGTGGGACCTTATCCTACCATCTCTTGTACAAACCTGGTCCTTATTGTACACCCTACCTGGTGGAGGTGGCCTCCAGAGTCACTGCAGCAGATTTGCGCTTGGTGGGCATTCTGACACGCAGTCAGGTATCCTAGCCCGCAGTCAGGTGCGGGCTAGTCCCCTGGCAGGTGGTAGCTGGAGCTAGGTATGTCTTCAGGGAGCTTCCTCCTTGACCCTCATTCCTGGCAGGTGGCAGATGAAGCTAGCCCACTCTTTCGTTGATATAATTCCAGTCCAGGGCAGTAGGACATTGTGCCGAGGCCCACGTCTAGAGGACAAAACCCTTGATGGAGACACAGCTGCAAGTGCTGGGCTATCCCTCACGTGGCACAGATAATTAGGCTTGGGGACTTAAGGATAAAGGTGGTGGCCCTAGAGAACGGTGTTCCTGGGAACTGGAGGAAGCACTGGACTGGAAGGTTTAGCAGGTGGCATTGACAAGTCTGAGTGGGCCGGGCAAGTGGAAAGAGGAGAAAAACTATACTGAGGGATTTGTATCCCTGTCTGCCCTGGAACATGCATGCAGGGTGCTGGCCTGCAAAGGTGGGAAGAGAACAGGGACAGTTATGGGGGAGTCCACAAAGGACCCAAGAAGCCACATCGAGAGAGAAAATGGGAAAGTCAGGAGGGTGGAGAGCCAGGGGACAGTCCCCGAAGGATGAAGTGATTCCCTTGCCCATGGGACATGTCAGCAGGTCATGCCACACGAGGAGCTGGAGCTTTGCTAAAAAGATGTGTGCGATGGGGCTGGGGGAAAATGCTTCTTCAAGATGACTGGGCAGGGCTGCAGGGAAGCAGGTGGAGGACCCAGGCTCTGGGTTGGGATGTGGTACGATGCGATCAGCACTAGACGAAGACTAGCACGTTGTGCTGAGGCAGGGGAAATTGAGTGCTTCTGTCTTCAGAGCAGGCCCAAATATGGTGAAAGACAAAGGGGAGGGAGGCAAAGCCTTGGATTGAAGGGAAGAGAGTTCACAGCCCATGTACTCCCAGCCCAACCGAGCAGACCTCGTGCCAGGAGACTTGACTCCTAGATCTAGATCAGAGGAGGCTCCGTTACCAAGGGAATCTCACTAGGCAGCTGGCAGGAGATTTAGGACCCGTCTAGATGCCCAGGAGGCATCACCCAACCAAACAGCTTGGGTTAAGCAGTTGCCGTGTGCAGGCAATTTAGATAAAACAGACCCCGGCCTTGAGAGAAAGGTGGCCCACCCGCCCTGGTTCCTCTCTCAGTGGTATCAGGCCTGCAATGTCAGCATCGTACTCTTGGCTTTCAGAACCAGAGATTTTGATTTTGATAAGACCCTCAATGATATTTTAGGAGCTCTGATTGAAATCTGTCAGTGGTTTTAACTTGGCAAGATCTCCAGTACCCCAGGGACTGGGGTTTGCTTCCTGAGCTCTCCACTATTGCTTGCTGTTACTTTTTGTATGAGCGTTTTGGGGACCAGAGAATGTACAGTGTGATTTCTCATTGAGGAAAATCTCTATTTTCATGTAAGTGAGATGTTTCGAGAGAATTCAAAATTATAATATTTTATTGGGTTTTTGTTTCTTTGGTTGGTTGGTTGGTTTGGTTTGGTTTTGGTTTTTCAAGACAGGGTTTCTCTGTGTAGCCCTGGCTGTCCTGGAATTCACTCTGTAGATCAGGCTGTCCTTGAACTCATAGAAATCCACCTGCCTCTGCCTCCTGAGTGCTGGGATTAAAGGTGTGCGCCACCACTGCCTGGCTCCAAAGCAATGAATTTTAAAGCCATGGTGACAAAACATTCTTACATAAGTTCTTTGCCTCCTTAAAATTCCTGGTTTTGTGTTGTAGCAATGAAAAACTGCCAGCAGCGTTGTTAGAAGCGTAGAGACAACGGGAGGGAATAGGGCGTCATTTTAGCAAGAAACTGAACCCGTTCCTCCCTGGGAATCTCCTTTGAGCTCTTACTTAGTCTACAGGAATAGCTTTGGTAAAATCACAGAAACCCACTTCCGCCCTTCCCCGTGGGCCTTGGTGGTGTCTAACCCCTGGAAGATAGTGATTCCACCCCTGACACTTGCGTCAGCCCAACCCAGGGAAACCTCTTCCACAAGAGGCTGATGACTATCTCCAAGGCAAGTTTCATGTGCTGTGCTTTCAACTACGGTTGCCTAAGAGAGACCTTGGCTAGAATAAGACCAGCAACGCGGTACAGAGGCCCTGGAGGTCTTGTGGTCTCTAGGCCTCATCTGAATGATCTTTTTTGGCCTCACTGGGTTCATTGTGCGACACGGGGTCAGGAGTCTCACCCTAGGGAACTGTAATGACTAGAGAGTCACACCTGCTTCTTGTCATCACCCGCCCCCATAGCCCAGCGGAATTTTCTGAGGTATCCACCACTGGCAGGGACTCGGGCCTCAAACACTCTGACAAGCTCCCCTGCTACTCTCCCATGGCATCACATGACAGATATTGTCTGCCCATGACCTCAGTTGGGCTTCCGCTGGCAGCCCTGACCACACAGCCTGGTTTTGTCTCTACAGCAGGCAGCTTGGGGCCCCTGGATGGCTCAGTGGTATCATCAGGTATCTTGTGCCCACTTGAGCGAGAGGCTCAGGAGAAGGCCCATTGGGCAGTCCAGACAGGAAGGCCTGGACTGCTGCCCCACAAGGTTCTGCAGTCCTTCTGTAGGGGCTTGGTCCATTTTCCCTCAACTTCCCATCCCATGCTACAGAGATATGGGCTTCCCATGCCCCGGGCTGATACTAGTTCTTGTCCACTAGTCCCCATTCTGATAGCAAAGATGGGTACAGACTCTTTCCTTGGGATGATGCACTTGGAAAACTTGACTTACACCCGGGCCAAGGCAGTTAGGTTCTTGCTCTTGTCTTACAGAAAGTGGAGTCTAAGAACACATGCTTCTCTGGCAGGAGAGCTCAGAATTCCAATACTGGGGCTCACTGCCTTCCTGCTGCCACTGTCGTTGTGTCTCAGCATGGAGCAGTCTAACAGAGCCCCGACTGTTGAGAAGACTGGCAAAAGGAACCAGTAACCCCTGAAGGACGGTCTGGAGCAAAGCAGAGGAAGTGCTCCCAAGCAGAGACGGTTAGGGCTTCAGGTGTTTCTAATATTCAGGTAACTGGGAGAGGCCACCTTGTTCCTATTGTCCCTAGTGCCCGATGAATCTGTCACCCTCTTGATAGCACCTGTCATTCTCTTGTTGCCTATCTGTGATATGAACATTTGGGACACACAGTCTTTTTGTGTTTGTCATATTTATCTTGGAAAAAAACAAGAGCCATAGAAGGGGCAGATAAGTAGGGTCCTCGGATCCATGATCTCCAGTCTCAAAGGGTGAACAACTTGAGACTTACAGGCTAATAACTCATTATTTCAGGCCCTCAGCGAATGCTTATTCAGGATGGTGAGGCTTCAGATAAATGGCGGCTGAGTAGCTGTGTAGAAGACATTGCCAGGCAAACTTCCATCTGCCTCTCAGACAGAGACGGAAGGAGCAGCTCGCGGGTCAGAATTCCTTTCAAGATGGCAGGACCGAAACATGAGTCTGGACAAAGACAGTCCCGTGTGAGTGTTCATTCACCCATGCCCACTCTCCCTGCAGATTGCCAGTTTTCTCTTTCCTTGGTGAGCAGAGAGGAAACCTTTGCAAATGCCTTTTCAAATCTCACCCATGGAGAGGCTGTTTCTGACTCTTACAAACTTTCCATCCCCTTCCGTGATGTTCACTGAGTCATAGATGCAGGAGCTGTGATGTAAATGTATCCTTTGGGGACCAGGATGCCCACAATCTCTGCCTTGTGTCCGGTTGTGGTCTTCTATAGTGACCTTCATTTACTGTAAAGAGAAATTTTTTTGATGAGGGTTGATAGTTACACTTCTCTGTAGATTTAAGGATAATATTTAGAATATAGTAAGGAAATACGCTGGTCTAGCAAAGTGACAATAATAGATTATTTTCTAAGGTCCAAGACCTCACTTAGCCCTGGAAAACTGTTTATGGCTGCATAAACAAGATCGGAAGAATTGGAATACCAATGGACGTGATAATATGAAAGAGGGGAAATTTTGTGGGGTCCCACCACTAGACAAGGAACTATAGGCAACTAATGACTTCTAGGAGAAGAATTAGCCTCTCCCAGGGCCCTTTTTTGTTATTCAATGCATAGTAATCATATATATATCAACAAAAACAGACTTAACAGACTGTATTTATATGTATTGCTACATACACATATATGTATGTAACAATAATAATAATAATCAAGGAAAAGGCTATCAGCTTGAGGGAAAAACATGAGGCTAGAAGGAGGAAAGGGAGGGAAAAACTGATATAATTCTATTTCAATATAACAATAATAATAATAATATTTTACCAATGGTAAGTTTCAGAAAATGATGCACACATCAATGAACTTGTCAGAAAGATTACATACCAAGAAAAGACATTAACTAGCTCTTCTGGATCTTTTCCTCAAACTTTACCATCAACCCATCCCCTACCCCCCCATACTGGGCTTACAGGGGAAGACGTGAGCCAGGACCCAATCCCCCCCCCATCCCAAGATCCCTATATGGTACCCTTCTCATGTGTTTGGACTTGGTTACATTTGGATCAGCGATGCAACATGAACACCTCGGATATGCTGCCAGCTGGGCTGGGA